AAATCTCCTCTTGAAATTCTTTCCTCCAAACCTCAAGATTTGAGTCATCTTCGGGTTTTTGGTTGTCTTTGTTATGTCCACCCTATTCCTAAACCCAGAAATAAATTTACCCCACGAAGTATCAAGTGTGTGTTCATGGGCTATCCTTATGGTACCAAAGGGTGGCGCGTGTATAATCTTGAAACCCATACATTTTTTCATACGCGGGATATCTCCTTTGATGAAACAACCTTCCCGTTTGCTGTTCCTACTCCTTCGACCAGTTCTCAACCCATCATCACAACTTCGCCAGTTGATTTCGTCGTTCCTCCTACTCCAGTCACTACTGCCGTCCCCGCCCCCCAGCCAGTGGTACCATCACCCGTCACCCCCACTGTTCCGGTGACAGCCAAGCAGCCCACACCATCTCCGTCTCTATCTCCGTCACCCTCTTCGTCCTCTTCTTCATCGGAAACAGTCACCACCCCCGTCTCCTCCTCCTCCGACGACAACAGTTCTCCCTCCACGGTGGAGACCACTTCTCCACCGCCAATAATTCCACCCCTTCCGCCTCGTACTCGTCGTCGTCCATCTCATCTCAACGACTACGTCCTTCACTCCGCAAAAACTGTCACTCCGGCTCCGGTCACCTCATGTTCTTCTCCTTCTGGTACTCGGTTCCCTATTACTAACTTTGTTCATTATTCTAAGTTGCATGACAGGTATAAAGGTTTTCTTGGAGCTATTGACGCCACATCTGTTCCCCGTAATTTCCGTGAAGCTGTTCAGTTTGCCTCATGGCGAGAGGCAATGGCCATTGAGTATTCGGCCCTGGAACGTAACCATACCTGGGATGTTGTTGATCTTCCTCCTAACCGACGTGCTCTTGGTTGCCAGTGGGTATATCGGACCAAATTTCGATCTGATGGTACTAAGGAGCGTGATAAAGCTCGCCTTGTTGTTTTAGGCAATCATCAGGAACTTGGTGTTGATTATACTGACACGTTTGCTCCTGTAGCCAAACGTGCTACTGTTCGTGTTTTGTTGTCTGTTGCAGTGGCTCGTGGTTGGCAGGTTGATCAGTTGGATGTTAATAATGCCTTCCTGCATGGTGATTTACAGGATGAGATTTATATGAAACTACCCCCTGGTTATACTCATCTTTTTCCAGGGAAAGTTTGTCGTCTGCGCAAATCTTTATATGAGCTTCGTCAGTCTCCCCGTAATTGGTTCACTAAGCTCTGTATTGCTCTGCGACGATATGGTTTTCGTCAAGCCCATGCTGATCACACTCTTTTTGTTCTCCAGCGCGGTCCTGATATGTTGGTTGTACTTGTTTATGTTGATGATATTTTGGTGGCAGGTAACAACAGGTCTTTGTGTACGTCGTTCAAGAAGTATTTAGATGACTGTTTTCATCTTAAGGATCTTGGTCCTGTCTCTTATTTTCTCGGGATTGAGTGTGCTCGTTCTTAGACTGGTATGGTTCTCTCTCAGCGTAAGTATGCTCTTGACATTATTGATGAGGCTAATTTGCTTGGGTGCAAGCCTGTGGACACTCCATTACCCGTTGATCATAATTTGGCCCGATCTACTAGCGCTGAGATTCGTGATCCTCTTAAGTATCGTCGTCTTGTGGGTCGTTTGTTGTACCTGACCATTACTCATCCAGATATTTGTTATGCCGTTCACTGCCTCTCTCAGTTTATGCAGGCTCCACGTCTTGACCATTGGAATGCAGCTCTTTGTGTCCTCCGTTATCTCAAGGGACACCCTGGTCAGGGTATTTTGTTACGTAGTGACAGCAATCTTGCCCTTACTGCCTTCTCTGATTCTGATTGGGCTAGCTGTCCTCTTACACGCCGTTCTGTTACTGGTTACTTCATTTTATTGGGTGGTTCTCCTATCTCGTGGCGCACTAAGAAGCAGAACACTGTTTCCCGATCTTCCGCGGAGGCTGAGTATCGCGCTATGGCCAATGCCTGTGCTGAAATTCGTTGGTTGCGTGGCCTTTTGGCAGCTTTGGACGTTCGGTGTGTCGCGACTCCACGTCTATACTGCGACAACAAGTCGGCCCTGTTTATTGCCGCAAATCCAGTGTTTCATGAGCGATCGAAGCATATCGATATTGATTGTCATATAGTCCGAGAATGTCTTCAGCGCAATCATATTGTGACGGCTTATGTTCCTACGCGCTTTCAAACGGCGGACATCTTCACAAAGGCCCTCTCTGGTCCTCTTTTTCGTAGTTTACTGTCCAAGTTGGGCATTTGTGATCTACATGCTCCAACTTGAGGGGGAGTGTTAGCCTAGTATTTTATGTGTATATGTTTATTGTGTATTGGGCTGTGTATAGCTTGGGCCCGTGACTTGTATTCTCGGCTTTGTATATAAACTCCCGGTGACTAATGGAAAACCCAGTTTCACGTAAAATATTTCTACACAAATACACTGGGACAGGGGTAGTAAATAGTTATTTTATTAAATTCTAAAATAGAACCAAAACATAATTAAATGATTGAAATAAGTATTGAAGATATTTTGGGGAAGAGAAAAACTTCAAAAAATCACCTTAAATAAGACTAAAATATAAAAAAATATCAAAAATAGAAGTTCTATGTTTTTATTTTCTAAATAAGAGTTCGCGTTATGGTAATGTGCCACTGTATATATGCGTTTTACGTAATGTACATGACCATGATTGGTAATGTAAATGTATTTTAATCTCTATTTCAGGAATAAAAACATGGAACTCCTATTTTGATACGGAGTATATTTCTAATGTTTTACTCCTACTTCAGTCTTTTTTCCAAAAACTTCCCAGAGCTCCAAATAAATTATTAGGAGTATGTATTTTGAATTCAAGAATGATAAATATCTTTGAGTATGTTATTGTTTAAATACACAATGTGCCCACATAGTCGTTTGTTTTAAACTACAGAAGAAATCTTGAATATAGGTATTGTGATTAGTAACGTTATTGTCGGGATAAAGGGAATATGATAAGGCAAGGTTGATAAACCTTGGAATAAAGTATGCTTGATTAGAGCATTGGCAGCGGCGAGTGGAAAAACGCCTCGCCCTGCCTTGAGAGGAGAGCTGCGATACGCAACGGCAAGGAAGGAGAAAAGCCGCGCGAGCCAAGGGACGAATCACTCCCTTTGCGAGGCATCTGCGAGGCAAAATCGCAGGCAATTGTCGTCTCCTTTGCGAGGCATCTGCGAGTCAATTCCACCGTCTCTGTCTGCTCTCCACCCACGCCTATGCCTTGCCGCTGTAAGTCATGGAACTCCACAGTGAATTTTGATTGGTTGTTAGATGCCACATCATCCCGTGGCATTCCATTTTAGACTTGCTGCTACCAATGCTCTAAATACATGAATTCCTTTGTTTTAAATGACCTTACTACGTTTAACCAAATAGTTGGAGGATGAAGTACTAACACATTTTACTAAGTGAGTTTAGTGTTTTCTAAATATCCAAAAGTAACTATTTCAAAGCGAGGTTGTTTTTCAATGATTATGAGTATTTGAAAAACATTAGAATTAGATGACACTAAAATCACCAACATCTATGTATAAATCCAGTGAAGAGAAGAGTAAGAAGAAAATTGGTTGTTTGAATCAAGGGAAACAAAAACGAAAGAAAAAGCTAAATCAAAGTTTATTTTTCTCTTTTTTGGTTGAGAAGAAAAGTGATAAAAATAGAAAATATTATAGTAAAATGACTTGTAAGCGTTATAATAGAAAATTCTTCCCCTCCCAAAAATCTTTTCACATTTTGACTCTTTAAATACACTTTCTACATACTTTAATCATTAATAAATACAATTGCATAAAAATAAATGTTGTAGAAGTTTGATATACTCCGTATTAAAGCTCTACCTTAAAATTATTTTAATTATAATAAACTTACATTATAACTAAATATATTTTTTCACAATTTATAATTAAAATATGTAGAAAATTAACTAGAAAAATCAAAATGTCAAAAAGTTAGGCCCTGTTCTTTTGGGTTGAAATTTTAGAGGTGGAAGTTAAAATAACTGAAAGGAATTAAAAAAATTGGAAAGTGTTGGAAAATGTTAGAAAATTAAAAGTTAAAAAATCACTCAATTAAATGATTATCCAAATTATTATGTAACAAAATTCTAATTTTGGATAAAAAGAATTCATCATTGTCTGTATTTGAGTTAGTATGTTATAAATTTAGATATATAGTGTTATTGTATATTTATCATATATAAATATCATTTTTAAGTATTGTTAGAAGGAACTCGAAGGAATTAGAACAAACTAGAAAGAATTACGGAGTAAAAGTTAGAAAAAATTAGTTGGTCCATTATTTTTTTCTTCTTCCGAAGCAAAGAAAAAGGATATAAATTCTACTTATTTTCTCTCCTTATACTCTAAGATTCCATTTTTTTCTGTTCGTCCCAAAAAATAGTTCCTATTTTTCCTTTTAGAAAAACAATTATGATCTTTCTAATTTCTCAAATATTCATCACTTGTAATCATATTATTTCACTTCTTAAATTTTTATGCAAAGTCAAAAGAACTCAAAGTTAGTTTTTTTTAAGACGGAAGAAATATTTCTAATCTAATCAATCGCTTATGGACGGTACCTTTAACTATATTAAGATATGCATACAGGAATCACAACGACTTAAGTTTTGTTTCGTTCGAAAAATAAAATAAAACAAATTGTTTTTAAAGTAAGATGTGAGATCACATTATTTAATCACTTCATTATTGGAAAATGAGAAGGACAATAAGTCATGTTTAAGAAATTATAAGGACCAACCTGTTTAGGAAGTAACCAATCGGGAGGTGCCACAATATACCGTTTGATTTGCACGACATGTTAGCCAGTGATAGAGACTTTTCACGATTGATGCGTCATTGTAGTACGATATTTAGAAAGAATTTTTTGCCTCATTTTCCTAATTCTTTATAAAACATTGAGTCCCTGCAAAAATCAAGTGCATGTTTAAGTAGATGTACATGAAACGTGGTATATCTCGTTATAACAGGCAGGATCGGTCCCAAAAAATGGAAAAATAAAATTGGTCCGGTCCTAAATTTACATTTTGGGCGGCCAAATAGCGTCAGTATCCCTCGTAATTTGCAAAACGGGCACCAATACCCCCTCTGTTTTTAAAACTTATTTCTAAAGTTCATCTGGTTTCAAAATGCTGCACCTGTGCCCCTTTGATCATTTTCTAGCCATTTTTCCGGCGAAGAAGGGGAGCATTGGTGCATATTTTCTAAACCATAGGAGGTATGAGTGCTGATTTTTATTTCTCGTTCATTTTTTGTTTTTTCCATTTTTCCTTTTTTGTTTCAATTATTAATTAGGGGTTTTTAAAATTGTTTTTATAATATTCTTAAAATTTTAAATTGTTTTTGTTTGAAAAAATAAAATATAATGCATATGTACGTCTGAAATTAACAATTTTTGTTTTTTCTGAAAAAAAAATTTTTTTTTGAGAACTTCGAAAAAATGAGGAATAAAATAAGAAAAAAATAATACAAAAAATAAAATGAATATCTTTTTTGGACATCTCAATTCTATGGACTTATTTAGGCGTATCCAAAATTTTTTGTATAAGACTTTTTTTTGCGTATTTTAATTTTTTTTCATTTCGTTTTTCAGTATTTTTATATTTTTATTATGGATTTTTTTGAACTTTCCAAAAAATTATTCTAAAAACAAAAAGTGAAAATGTTTAATTTGAGATAGATGTAATGCATGTTAATTTTTTTATTTTTATTTTTATTTCAAACACAAAGAGTTTTAAAATTTTTAAAACATTATAAAAATTGAAAATATATTTTTTAAAAAAATCTAGGAAAAGGAAAAAGAGATATAAAACATTTAAAAAAAGGGAAAACACAAATAATAAACTAAAATAAGAAATGTGCACGAATGTCTCCTTATGGTTTAGAAATTATGCGCGAATGCCCCCTCTTCGCTGGAAAATGACAGGAAAATGATTAGAGGGGTTGTGGGTGCAACGTTTTGAAACTACGGGGACTTTAGAAATAAGTTTTGAAAACAGAGTGGGTATTGGCGCCAATTTTCCAAACCACGGGGGGCACCGGAGCTATTTGGCCCATTTTGGGCCCTATTTTATTTTTTATAATATTTTTCCTTTAAAATTATTAACAAATTTAAAAATATGGAGCCCTAAAATTTTTAGAACCATGTGCGGTTGGCCACTTTGCACACCCTCCGGGCCACCCATGATACCAGGTATAGCAAATAAATATTCAGTTACTCGAAAATAAGTATTTAAATAGATGTACGTAAAAAATTACATGTCCGGAAGATGTAGGCAAATATTATAGTGGATATACGGTCTACCATGGATCTATATATGAACAAAATAAATATTTCTTTACTACTTAAATAATTAAATAAGCATTGGTTTTTTTAAAAAATAAAAGAATAGGTGAAAAGATCCACAAAAATGATATGCACCAAAGTGTACCAAATAAATTCTCTTGAATGTATGATATACATAGTCATTACATTACCAAAAAAATTTAATATCAATAACTACTTTTACGTTGTACGTACAACCTTTCTATTCTTAATTAGTGTAAACTCAACGCGTAGACATACCCTCAAAGCTAGATATTACTCATTTGGGATAATATAGGTGTCCTTGTGGTCCAATTTAAAAGTCTAGTTTTCAAATATCAATTTTTTATAAGGTACTTCTAGTCTAGTAATTATACTCCGGTATATATTAATAATTAAAGTATGACATTAGACTTTGTAAAAAGTCAAATTATAAAAAAAATTGGAAACAAAAAGACTTTATTATATACTACTTCCGTCTATGAATATTTGTCAAATATTGACTTTTTGCAGCTTTGACGTATAATTAAACAAGATATATATTTTATATTAATAGGATATAATACTCTCTCCGTCCACCTAAGATCTTCCCATTACGCATTACGAGATTTGTCCGACTTTATTTTCAATTATTCAATTTAATTGATTATAGGAGTAAAATTTCAATATAAAATTTATATAGTAATAAATTACATGAAAAGTTTTACAAAACTAGAGGTGACAAGACTATATTATTTTATGAAGTGACTAGTAAAAATGAGCAAACAAAGTGAATAAAGTTTGACCCTGTGAATAGTGTCTGAGAAAATCTATGGTGGATAGATCGAGGGAGTAATATTTTATAAATGTTTTATAAAATGAATGTAATAACATTAAAAATAACCTATAGCCAGCACGAATACCCGAAAAGTGACAGGTCAGAGTATAACCCATACTCTGATTAATACGTTCATGGATTACTCGATATCTTATTTTATATTAATAAGATAGAATTATATTTTAAAAATATTTTATAAAATGAATCTAATTACATTAAACTATTTTTGTATTTGATGGGTATAACCTATTCCCGGCCTTAATACCCGGAAAGTGATGGATGAGAGTATAACCCATACCTAGGGGTGAGCAAGTACCGAACCGATACCGAAATTTCCCGAAAAACCCGAGAATACCGAACTGAAAAAGTACCGAGAAGGAACCGAACCGAACCGAACCGAACCGAATGGTCGGTACGGTATTCGGGAACGGTACGAGGTGACGTCCCATATCGAAAATCCCGTACCAAACATATATACTAAAATATTATAAAAATAATACCCCGGAGTAATATTTTTATATATTCCTTCACTAAATTATAATTTTTTTAAAAAAATTGGTTCAAGTTTTATTATGTGTAAATTATACTTTTATTTGAGTTAAAATTACTGTGTATGAGCATAAAAGTATTCACAAAGATTCAAAATACTCCTTTGTTGTCATTCATTTTTTAGTTTGTGAAATATAAACTAAGTTTTTGATACGCATCTCTTGCATTTAAATATTCATTTTTTTAATTTTTCATGTTTTTTATTTAAATTCACTTTTAATTTTCAAAAATAAAAGGGTATTGCTAAATTTTTAACGTGTAAAGTATGTATGTATCTTCATCTGATTTGTACTGAAACCGACACCGAACCATACCGAACCGATATTTCGGGATCGGGATCGGTACAAAGTAAAATCCCATACCGAACCGAAATATTTGGTACGGTATCGGTACGAGCTAAATGTCGTACCATGCTCACCCCTACCCATACCGTGCAGGACTTACTAGTCGGGGATATGCATAGGGTTTTGATCTTTTTGAAAAAAAATTCCCCCTTAATAAAAAATTCCCCCTTAATATATGCATAGCCCTTATCTTCCCCCTTTTGACATTAACAAAAAGGTTGTTAACAACAAAAATCATAAAGATTTTTTTTAATTAATTAAGGGAAATAGCGGAGTACATAACGAAAGCATATTAAAAGATGATAAAATAAGGAAGAGAAGAAAGTATAGCTAGAGCTCTAGAAATCCGGGGAAAGCTCATTGAGAAGTTGTTCTTCGTCAATGTCTTCTTCTTCTTCTTCTTCTTCATCACCATCGCCATCATCATCATCATCATCATCATCGGCTTCTTCTTCTTCTTCGTCTTCGTCCACCGCGTCGTCCCTACCAACGTTTTGAGTCCCACTCTGTTCACCTCCGAAATTCGGTGGAGGAACGTAGGGGACCATTTGAGCGTACGGGTAATTGACAAAGTCAAAATACCCGTGAAGCTCACGGCTCAAGATATTGACGTTGTGTGCCATTTTGGAGACGTTGGTGTCTATCCGAGAGAGGGTGGTGGTCAAAGCCGCCATTTGCTCGGCAAGAGAAGGGTTGGTTGAAGCGGCGGCGGTCGAGGCAGTGGCTCTCGGTTGGCGGCGAGGACGAGGCTGCGGGAACGTAGCTTCATCGGTTTCCGGGTGGAAGGAAGACTCGTCAATCTCCCCATGCTTTGTTCCTTTACATTTTGACCCGACGTCCGTCTTGATGTGGAACTCATCAAGGACCGCCATGACAAGGAGAGCATAGGGGAGCGGCCGGTTGTCGGAGGTGGCGTTGAACATGTGAGTCATCACAAATTTACACCAATTGATATTGGCGTTGTGAATCATCTCATGAATTGTCTTCGTGTCCTCCTGGGAGAGAGTGGTGTGATTGAACTTCCTAGGCTTGAGAATCCGTGTCAAAACATAAAAAATGAATCGAAATATGGGACTCATGGGAGCAATCGTAGGGCGCCGCTGTTGGGGAGTGGGGAAGAAGTGTCGGATGCCCACTTCCTCCAAGAGAGCGGTCTCATTGAACCGCGCTCCTTCTTCTCCGGCGTAGAGCCCGAGATCCTATCCGTCCCGACGAAGCCCGGTGAGGATTTGAATGTTTTCCTCATTCAAATAAATGTCCACCCCGTTGACGTTAGAGATCAACGCTCCGTCCTCATCCTTTTTCAAGTTCGAGTAGAAAGCTCGAACAAGAAAGGGGTGATAATGAGCCTTCTTGATGTAGAGGAGGTCGAGGAAGTTTCCACGTTCGAGGATAACTCGTGTCTCACGTGGAATGGAGTCATGAATGAAGCAGGCGGTGGAGAATCGGGGAGGAAGAATTTCCAGGTACTCAAACTTCTCCGAGAACCGCGTCGCCTCTGCGCGGTCGTTGAACCAAAGGAACGACCCATCGAGGTACTTGTGCGCCGGTGGTGGAGGAGGAGCCGAGGAGGAAGCAACGTTCTTCCCGGTGTGAGATCGTTTTCTTTGACCTCCTGCCATTTCAACAAAGTAGAGAGGGATAGCAAGACAAAAAGAAGAGAAATTTGCAGGGATTTTGCAAGAACACTGAAGAATAATTGCAAGAAGAATGAAATAATGATGATATAGATAGTCATTACATTGCCAAATAAAAGAATAGATGAAAAGATCCACAAAAATGATATGCACGAAAGTGTACCAAATAAATTCTCTTGAATGTATGATATAGATAGTCATTACATTGCCAAATAAATTTAATATCAATAACTACTTTTACGTTGTATGTACAACCTTTCTATTCTTAATTAGTGTAAACTCAACGCGTAGACATACCCTCAAAGCTAGATATTACTCATTTGGGATAATATAGGTGTCCTTGTGGTCCAATTTAAAAGTCTAGTTTTCAAATATCAATTTTTTATAAGGTACTTCTAGTCTAGTAATTATACTCCGGTATATATTAATAATTAAAGTATGACATTAGACTTTGTAAAAAGTCAAATTATAAAAAAAATTGGAAACAAAAAGACTTTATTATATACTACTTCCGTCTATGAATATTTGTCAAATATTGACTTTTTGCAGCTTTGACGTATAATTAAACAAGATATATATTTTATATTAATAGGATATAATACTCTCTCCGTCCACCTAAGATCTTCCCATTAGGCATTACGAGACTTGTCCGACTTTATTTTCAATTATTCAATTTAGTTGATTATAGGAGTACAATTTCAATATAAAATTTATATAGTAATAAACTACATGAAAAGTTCTACAAAACTAGAGGTGACAAGACTATATTATTTTATGAAGTGACTAGTAAAAATGAGCAAACAAAGTGAATAAAGTTTGACCCTGTGAATAGTGTCTGAGAAAATCTATGGTGGATAGATCGAGGGAGTAATATTTTATAAAATGAATGTAATAACATTAAATTATTTTTGTATCTGATGGGTATAACCTATACCCAGCACGAATACCCGAAAAGTGACAGGTCAGAGTATAACCCATACTCTGATTAATACGTGTTCATGGATTACTCGATATCTTATTTTATATTAATAAGATAGAATAATATTTTAAAAATATTTTATAAAATGAATCTAATTACATTAAACTATTTTTGTATTTGATGGGTATAACCTATTCCCGGCCTTAATACCCGGAAAGTGATGGGTGAGAGTATAACCCATACTGTGCAGGACTTACTAGTCCGGCGGGTACCATACAAAGGCTTAGTGTACGTACATGGTAATCCAAGTTTTTCCGGATGACACCCACATCTTTTCTAGTCTCACCCAGTAGACTAGTCTAAACCACTGTGTGATGCACATATAACTATTTACAACTATGAGTATGTATCTAGCTATATTGTTATGCAATTTCGTATTCTTTTGTTAGAGTTACAACTCAGCTTTATGCTAAGGGTGTAGTTTGTCACTTGTTACACCGTACCAGGTAGGAGCGATGAATTTGGAGCTAATCTTGGAGGTCAATGAGAGCGAAGAGATGTACGGACGGATGGACGTGGATTTCCTTTATTATTTAAATTACTTTACCTTTTCGGGCTTGAACCCAACCTTCTCGCAGTTTTGAATTTGGTTTGATACTTTTAAGCTTCCACACCGAATTATATATGTTTTACTTCGTTATATTTTCTTGAATTGTTCTAAATTGATTGTATTAAAGTTATTATTAAAAGAGGTTTTAAATTAGATGTCCTAAAATACTATTTCAGTGATTACTCTGACCCGTTGGGCCGCAGATACGAGGGTCTTACGAGTTGGGTGTTACACCGCGCTTTACTAATGGTTAGATATCTTACTTTGCCTCCCCCACTCTATATAAATAGATTGTAATAGAGGGATGAAGGACCATTCAATCATTCTCACACAAACATGTACACTCTTAAGATAGAGTAAAGAAATATATGTTTGGGCACAATAATTCTTTCCTGGTCTAGGTCACTCTTCCGTACTATTCTTACATACGTGTGTTTTCCTTATCCAGTGGAGTCTGTTTAACTAGGTAAGACCCAGCCAAATCTGCACGGTCAATTTAACACCATCACGTCACTATCAGTGTTTAATAGCACTTTTATTTAATTTATGATCAAAACTTATTAATTTTGAACAAACAAAAATTAAAAGTGGACAAATATAATAATAGGAACGTCAAAAGTGGACACATTTCATGTACAACAGAAAACACATGCATATTTGAAGAGCTATATGGAGATTATTTTATGCCAATATACATACTCCATTTCCCTCATGCACCTAAGCAATGTGAAAGAATAAGCAGATAACCAGCTGAGCTTCACTCCTAATAAGCAAGTCCACAAAGCTACAAACTGGCTTCTGAAAACCTCTCACAAGAATAATAAAGTAAACTAAAAATAAACACACTCAATAAATAATTAACTGGCGAAGAAGATTCCGGGGATGTATTTATAATGAATATAATCAACCACCCCACTGGTCAATCTCCTCCGATCCATTCCAGGAATCTGGGACCTGCTATTTAATCTAAACCTGGGAAGCCAAGTCCATGGCGTTGATGAATGTGCCATGGAAGCCATAAGGAACCCTTGATGGCAGCTTCACAGTGGCCTCCAGATCTAATGTCTGGGCATTCACAATTTGCAATTCTGAACTCCCGGCCTTCTCGTCTTGCGAGAACGCCAGGATGTGCCCCGTGTCTTCCTCCCCATTCGGGGCGGCGGCAGACGGCAGGAAAAGAGGCTCGCCTCCGTACTTCTCCTCTCCGTACATGAATTTCATCACTTCCCCCGTGAACAAGTCCACTTTTGCAAAGCCTGAGACTTTTGGCCACGGCTCTGCTATGGCCAGATATGCGTACCTGGTTCGCCTCCCCAGCTTGTTCCTGTTCACCATCCCGGCCTCTAGATTCAATTGGTACTGGTTTTGGATGATTGCTTTTCTCGTGGACTTGCCCGTGTTCAGATCGAGTCGAATTTCGGATAAAACGCTCTTTAACTCGGCCTCCCTCTCGTTGAAGATTGAATCCGGGGGAGTCATACATGACCCGATGACCACAACCTCCTCTGTTTCTGGTTCTTCCCATGCGTTCCAGAGGTGGAAGCAGAAGCAGTCAGGCACTTCCACCCACTTCATTTCTGAAGAATCTTTGGCGTATTTGTTGAGGACTCCGAATCTTGCCACTTTGTTCTTGTCGTACACCACCGGCGATCCTCCTCCGACCATCTCGGATATCTTGAACACCACTTGCTGGTCGGGGACGACCACGAATCTCTCCGTGATTGCGAAATCGTGCATCATTGTGGGGTCCCGGACTGGGATTTCGATGTCGGGGGATTTTCTCCCCGACTTCGAAAACCAGAAGAACTTAAGGTACGGGGCCTGGATCACGTCGTAACTGAGGGCGAAGAGCTCGCCGGAAACAGGGTCCAGCTTCGGGTGCGCGATCATGGAGGATTTGAGTTCGCCGTTGAAATCGTATCTCCCGACGGTTTTCAGGTCGCCGGAGGGCGTGACCCTCACGTGGTACGGCAAATCGTCTTCCGACATCGCCAGCAAGCGGTTGTTGAAGTAGACCAAGCCGGCGTTCGCGACTCCCGTGCCTTTACTCCCGTCGACGAGGCCGAAAAGCCCGCGAGCGTAGAAGAGCATCAGCCTAGCGATCCCGGTGTGGCCGTGAAGCTCTCCGATGGCTTTTGGGAAAACCGGCCGCCCCAAGGCCCGTTCCTGGACGAATCTATGCGTCTCCGTGAACCGGCACGCGTAGCTGACGGCGCCGTTCTTGAACCGGACGGCGTGAATCATCCCGTCACCGTCAAAGAAGTGGTGACCAGCCACAGGGGCGTGGAGGGGATTCGCGCCGTTCCGGACGTACACGCCCTGTATGCACTCCGGGATCTTCCCGGCCACCGGAACTGCCTGCCGGACGGGCTGTTCAGGCACGGGAGCAAAATTACCAGAAATCTGAACCTTCGGGTCCGCCGTTTTGGGGAGAGTCTGATTGAGCTCGTGCTCTGTTAGCTTCTCCTCCACCGCGTCCAAAGCCATTGCCGCCACCCTCTGAAAGAAATTCCACCGTTGAGGCGAAGAAGAAGGAATTTCCTCCCGCGGGCATGATGAATTTGAAGAGGGGATACTTATACTGGGAGAAATGGAAGATTGGTTGGGAAAATGGAGCAAAGGAGTCTGCAGGGAGCAATTAATCTTCAAATTTCTTTTACTGCGTCTGTGAGGAAGAAATGGAAGTTTAGAAGAGCCAAAGCCTCTTGATGAGGTCGGAGATGTTATACACAAGTTGGGTTTAGGCAAGGATTTTGTAGTATAGAAAGTGGCCATGACTGCCTATTTTCACGAGGGCTCACCAGACACAGAGTGTGGGGGAGTTTGCGAGGAGGATGAAGAGCTCGGATGATTTTATAGTACATCTTCTCCATGCTTCAATTTCAATCATTAAATCCATGAAAGAAATTTATTCCAAAATAGAATTTAAATGTAGGCCGTTCTTTACAATTAAAATCATGCTCCGTAAATTTTAATTCCTCAAATAAAACTTAATTAACTTTTTGTCTTTTTGATTAATTTTAAGGCAAACAACTTTTTATTTATTCACGTGGAGGGGATAACAAATTGGGCCATGGAAGCCATACCAATCACCCCTCTACGAATCTCCGTTCATAAAATTGATGATTTCATATCCCTCTAACCCCCGCCAAGTCCCAACCCAAACCAATCACCCACATACATTAATTGCATCTCGTAAGTATAAAGTCAAAACTTTTGATTTTAAAGTCAATTATACTTACGAGGTGTAATTGACGTAGGTGGTGTGATTAGTTTGAATCGGGACTTGGCGGGGGGTTTACTGGAGTTAGAGGGGTAGGAATCATCAATTTTATGAACGGAGATCTGTAGGGGGCAGTGGCTTCCGTGGCCACTGGAATCCAGTGACCATGGAACCGAGAAAGAGTGAGCAAGACTTTTAACGATGAATACAATTTAACAAAAAAATGTTCAAAAGAAAAAAATAAAAGCACAACCGTCCTCAAAAAGTGGACGAAAGTATGAAGGAAAATATGAACCCTCAACATTAATCAAAGAATTGATAAGTTGTAAATCTCCACCACTCGCAAGCCACGTGTCAAACTTCTAGGGAAGAGCTTCCTTACATGTCATTGTCTCTGCTAAAAGATGATCAAGAGGGCATTCTAATTCATTAAGCTCTTCTTTCCCTAATGTATTATCTAGACCTGGAGATAGTTCCGGTCTCGAACTCGT